GATACTAGGTATATAATTATCTATTTAAAATTTGAACATTAATTGGGTAAGAAAGTATTCTTATTTAATATACTTAAAATACCTACTAAAACTTTATACTTATTAATTATTATATCTTTACGGCTGTCGGCTACACTTAGTCATGAAACATTGACTCTGAACAATGACCCTCACTAATATGTAAGTACCTATAATAACCACATAGGTAGGTACTAGGTAGTAAATAACGTTTATCACAATACCGATAAAATATTGTGGTATAGGTATACATAATTGTTTTATATTGTTTTCTAATATACAATGTTGGAAAAAAAATAAACCATTTACAATCTATAAAAAATAAATACCTACATCACATCCCATGTTTTCAGATTTTTTAGTATTTTTAGTTTAGAAATTAGAATAGAAATAAAGTACACACTTTTAAATAAGGGATAATTAAGAGGTAATTTCGAAGGTCCTGGTTTAATAAAAAAAATAAAACATTCGCGATAGCTTAGAACTATGATTTAAATACAAATATTGCATAAGCATCTCCGAGTATCATCCAGAGTTACAATAAATTATGTATGTTAATAAATGTCACTCATAAAAACTATAAAATAAATTTATAATTATATTTGAAAATCAGTAAAATTTAATCAATAGGTTATTTATATTTTAAAGTAATGAAACAAAATTGGTTTCTACTTAAGGCGTATAGAATGAAAATATAAAAATAATATAAATAAAATATAATAAATATCTTACTGGGGAATTATTTTTGAAGTTTATCATGTATAAAACCAGGGATTTCAAACGTTATAATAACGTTATATTTGCAAAATAACGATTGAAATTTGTAAACGTACCTAATTATAACGGAAAGCGATAATCAAAAATAATTAAAAACAGCAAAACAAAGCATAACGAATAACAAAATATATAATATATTAATATATATCATTAAACAAAAAATATCGCAAAACGTAATTTATAGAATATCATTAAACGAAAAATAATGCAAAACAAAATTAATTGAAAATTTAAAATCCATTTATTTAAAGGTAAGGTCTATTGGTTTTGTAGAAATATATTTTATTTCATGCTAGATATTTATTTTTGTCTTAGAAAAAAAATCTAAGAATTGATTTTATTATATTCCGCATCTGGGACATTACCTACCCGCATTTTTTGGAGTTATTGATAACTTTTAAATTGAATGGCAAATAGCAAATATCTAGTATAATAATAATAATTATTATTATTAATAATGATTAATGATGCCCCGATAATTGCGCTGTAGAAGTAGGTATAGACTTATTTTGTATTCACTCTGTACTTTGTAGTCTACTTTGTAATCTACTCTGTAGTCTGTACTACTGCGGTCCTCTTGTGACTGTTGTTACAACATCCGTTTTATTTCTATTAGCTACATATTAAAACAAATAACGCAATCATGGGTAGAACAATTTCTAACCCAGTACTGAAAATACAAAGGCGGGCATTAACTTGTTAAAAAGTTAAAACGATAATTTTTTTTAACTTTTTAACGTAAAGACCTAGTTAATTATTTTTGTTTTTAACTTATTCAGTTAAAATTTCCATAGTAATTATATAAAATTCCTAGGTGTTAGGTACCTATATAGAATACCATTTATACCAGTATTAAATATTAATAAAATAATAAATTATAATTTTCTGGTAACGATGTTGAAAAAAATTAAGTAGTAAATTACTTACTGAATTGTTGGAAAATGTTGGGTAAAATAACGTTTTTATTCTAAATAACGATAAACCCAAAAATTGTGTAACGTTTTGATTGTAAATAACGTAAAACGGAATTTTTTTTTCAAATGCAAGCCCCTGTATAAAACTCTAAAAGTAATGCATTTAGAAGACCAATAATTAAATATTAATAACCATGATATTCAAACAACGCATGATACACATATTTTAGAGCACATTATTGTGTTATTGAGAGTAGGCACTATGTTTAAACAAACATGATGATATAATAAATTGTTAGTTAATTTAAGATAGGGGGATTTTCTGTTGCATTACAACAATATATACATATATAATGAATTATTATATATACGACATACCTACCAACTGAAACAACCTATACCATGTATCTATGTCTGATATTCTATATTGTTCATATTCTAGTACGGCGTCTGTAACTGTATTATAGTACAATACTATAATAGGTAGGGACTTCGATATGGTAATGTGGTATTCATAATTCTTATCAACATAATATTATGTTATCCATAAAACTAGTAATAATGACAACATTAATGGGGTATATTACACTGTTATGTAGGTAATTAGGTACATTTAAAATGTGTTAATACTATTTGGAAATTGCTTTGATTTCCGAAAAAGTAGACATAATATTATATTCCAAAATAATCTATTTTTGTGTTACCAAAACGTATAACATTTGCAAATTGTGCGAATGATAATATCCAGGCTGGCGAATAAATTCAGTACCTAATAGCCTTTTTTAATACAATAGAATAACACAAGTATAAAATCGTATGGGAATAAAAAAAAAGGATAATGTCCAAAGCGTCACGATATGCTGTGAAGATAAGACTTCTGCAGACACAAAAAACGCTGAATATACAACCCATACTATTCTTTATGTGCATACACAATATAATATAATATAATATATATATACATATATATACACAATGTAAAAAAACATGTTTAACAGGACGGCTCCATATTTGGCTCATTGAAACAGGTTTATGAGATTTTTTACCCTGGGATAAAATATGTTTCGTGCAATAGCTTAGATCTTATAAAATTAATTATAAACACTTCTCGTGTAGAAATATACCTATAGCTATAATATCGTTGCAGCGACTATTGTCTTGCAAACTCGAGACATTTTGGAAATAATTTTCATGATTATATAATGAAACGACATGATGATATATATACATAAAATATAACACATAAATACGTACATGTACTTATTATTAGCCATCTTGGTACCTATTGAATAATCTATTGATTATAAAACGCTGTGTTTATATGATATTTGCAGGGTATGTGCTATTTTCACTATTTTAAATTTCTAATAGAACGGATCATGATGGTCGCGTATGGACAATGGACATTGGTGTATTTAACTATTTAAGAGTATAATACTGTATCGAAATATTGTGCGTCTCAGCCGCGATGAATACTACTAGTGGTTTACTCAGGTTTAGTCGATAGATACCTCTATAAGTTCATTTTTCAAAATATTATACGAAATATTGGTAAGTATTACATTAAGATTATGTAATTTGTATCATTGAGCATTGTGTATTATATTTTGGACAAATTATCTAATTGCATTCTTCTGGGTGCCTTTTTTGAAAATATTATAAATATTTAATGGTATTAATATATAGGAATTTTTTTAGCGTAAGACACTCATTATTTTGAAAATATTTTTTTTACAAAAAATTAATTTTCTAGAAAACATTCTTTTAACTGTATTTATCATTATCATTTTTTTTAAGTTTTTACTTTATTGAATTACAATATAATATAATATAATTATGTAATATATATTTTTAAATTCATATTTTGAAGCTAAATATTTTTCTTAATATTTTGATATGCAAAGATACAATTTTGAACGAGTATTATTACAGCCTATATACCTATAATTAAGGTTTATTACTATTAAATAATAGTTAATTAGTATGTATACAAGCTTAGATGAGAAGACTAGCGGAACAACATTTTGCAAGAGACCATTAAACAGGGGTCCTCTACTTAGCTCATCTAACTTTAAATACTTAGATATACAATTATAACTTATTACTAAATACTAATAAATAATAATCATTCAAAATATAGGTACTCCCAAAAATATTATACTTTTAAATATGAAACTAAAAACGTATTAAATCATCAAGATCATAGATAAGATCTTATCTATAAGCGTGAAGTTGCTACCCGAATAATAATAGGACATTTTCCATCAGTATTAGAATATATTAAAATGGCCATTACCAACCCGTTTGTCTGCCATTGTCCGCTTTTGCAATTATTAAAAAGTTTGGTTTCTGTTTCTTCTAATTAACCTGCTATGATCAAAATATTAAAACAACTCAAAATCAAAAAGATTTTCTTCCATTATAGGTAGTTGTTTTTTTAACACTTAGTATAATTTATTTAAGGGGATTCGATACCGTGATTTTCTATTCTTGTCTAACACACACGTGACATAATATTTTAGACATAATATTAGCATTTTCTATACAACATATAATTTTGAAAATAATTTTACTCTTTTTAGCTGTTTGCGGACATTGTAAGTTTTCAATTTCATTTCGTTGTCAAGCATTTTATTATTTTATTGTTGTCAAGCATATATAAACAAACGTCGTCGTGATTTATTTTTATTGAGGCGATAATTTGAAGTCTAATTAAATTCAAATATAATTACAATTACAAATTGTACTTGATTTCAATGGCAAACGATAAGTTTAATTTAATTTCGAGTGAGGAGTTTGCAATTACTAGTAGGTTATCACTCTGATGCAAGTAATGCTCATGATAATAATGAAGATCAAAACAATCGTATTAATAATAACAATGTCAATGGAAGCTCTTTACTATCAAACAATCTTCTTGAATCTCAAGTTAATAATCGTGGATATTTTCAAAACCTTGATGTGAATGGACATTATATCGGTAAATTGTATGTAGTTTGTCGTCATTGCAATGAGATAGACTTCAAACCTGTAGTAGTTAGTGGTGAAAAGAATTCGTTTAATACTTGATGTAGCCATGGTGAATTTGCTCTAGATCCTTTACCTGATCCACCGCCGTTATTAAAAGGTTTGTTAAATCGAACTCACGAACATTCAAATCAGTTTCATGATCGTAATTGGTGCTACAATATTACATTTGATTTTGCTTCTTTTAATTCAAATTTGGTTAATTTGGATACTTGACGGCCTGGTCCTTATTGTTTCAAATTACAAGGTCAAATCTACTATCAAATGAACACTGATCTTTACCCAACTGCAGGGAAACTTCTTTCTTTTAGGAAAATGTTTATAATCGATCAGAATAAGTCAACGGACATACGATGCAATATGCTTTCAACTTTGAATAGAGAAATTATTAATGCGATTGATGGTATGCTTCGTCAACAAAATCAATTTGATCAGTCTCTGGAAATGATGCATGATGAAATACGAGAGTCAATGATTAACAATCAAATGAATACTGAACCTGAAATGAGACTGTTATTTTAGCTGAAACCTGGTATGGATTTGAGGAGTTACAATCCACAAAGAGTTAATGAGGTTGCGGCACTTTTTATTACAAAGGCAGACGGTGATATCTCTGAATCATATATAACAATTTATAACAAGGCCTCAAAAACTCTTCAATTTATTAGCTAAGTGGATCTTAATGTTGAACCTTGGATTTATCCGTTGTTTTAACCGTATAAAAGGTTGGCATTCCAATTTGTTAGGTGTTAATAAGTAGAAGAGAGTTTCAAGAGCTGCTTATGTAAAGTATAGAATGTCAATCCGAGATGACGAACATAATGAATTCTTAATGGATGGTCGATTGTTTCAGCAATCAATTGTTGATAATTATGTAAAAATTGAAAAAGATAGAATGACCTACTGCAGGGATCATCAATCGTCAATTCGTGCTGATTCACATCAGGGATTAATTGATCATTTATGGCAAAAAGCAGACGAAACAAATTTTCAAGTAGGAAAAATGGTAATTCTCCCATCTTCAATCACTGGTTCCCCACGAAATATGTAACAACATTATCAAGATGCGATGGCTATTGTTCGAACATTTGGTAAACAAGGTTTATTTATAACAATAACATGTAATCCTCAATAGCGTGAAATAAAAGAAAAATTATTGCCTAGCCAAACTGCATCTGATAGCCCAGATATTTTTTTCACCAGTTTTCAATATAAAGAAAGATGAATTAATTAACGGTATTGTGAAATAAAAATTATTTGGTGAAGTAATAGCGTACGTTTATGTCGTTTAATATCAAAAGCGAGAGTTACCTCATGTACGTATATTAGTAACATTGAAGCAAAATAGTAAAACTACTTTAACTGCAGAAATTGATAAATGTATTTCTGCTGAAATTCCAGTAGATTGTAATTGATAAAATAAATTTCAGGGTTGTTGCATTACTTGATAAAGATTCAGAAAAAGTGTAATTCTGGTATGGATAGTACAGACAACTGCGATAATGGAAATATAACTGATGTTTTATTGCCTGAATATTTGAATTCTTTGAATCCTCCAAACTTTCCACCATATGAATTGAAGTTAAGGAATTGTAATGTTACTTCATAATCTAAATTTTGCCCAAGGTCTTTACAACGGCACGAAGCTACAAATATTGCAATTGGCAAACAATTTTTTTAAGTGTCAAATATTAACTGGAGACAAAACTGAAGATACCTTTACATTCATACATCGTATAACGTTTGGTACTGTAAAGTGTAAAGGTATTTATCCTTTTACTTTTACGACAATTTCCTGTAATATTAGCTTTTGCAATGACCATAAATAAAAGCCAGCGACAGACTTTTGAGAAAATATTATTGGACCTTCATAGAGATGTATTCAATCAAGGTCAATTTTACGTTGCCTTTTCACGAGTTCGGTCTTATAAATCACTACGAATTTTTCTAGGAGAACAACGAGATAATAACAATATCAAGAACTATGTTTCCACAGAAATGTATAAATAAAAAGGTGGGTAAATGGAATGTCGCACTGTTGTACAGTAGGTTGCAAGTGGGTCACTTTAATGGATAGTGTAAAATTTGAATTCAATGATAGAATATCATTGTATAAGAAAAACGATTCTCAGCCAAGACGATCAGTCAGCCTATGACATTACTAAGTATATTTGATGATATTAAGGTGAATAAAGTAATTTATATATAACCTATTTACGTGGAATCTTGTTTTAAATTTTCAATCCTTAGCTATAAAAGTTGAACATTTTATACATTTTTAACTACAAAATAATTATTAAATTTTAAATTTGATAAATTTTTTTGAAATTCGAACTTTAAATGCTCATAAAAAAAAATTATGCCTATGAATTTTTATTATTTTTCAACTACTATTGAAACAATATATCAGGAGCCTTGCATTTTTTATGCTTTTTTACCCAACATGTTACAATTTTATTGATATTTATAGAAAAAAAAACTAAGAAAATTGAAAACTGACAATGTCCGTTTGTCCAGCTCAAAAAAAGTCAAAATATTTTCAAATTTGTATGGTGTATAGAAAATGCTAATACATATTATAAACATACAGAGAAATTTTCAAATATCCACAGTCATTCTTTTTTTAATTACAATAAAATAAGAAAATCTTTACCTGAGAAATCGAGTGAATATAAAATGTTGTAATAATATGAATTTCAAACGCTCATAAAAATTTAATTTGAGTTTCTCGTAGACATTTTTGATAAAAGTTGACGAACATATAAGGAATCTTGTATTAAATTTTCAAATCTTAAATTTTCTTTGAATTTCTAACTCAAAATAATTTGCAAATTGTTGTAATTTTAACGTATTTTGTCAATATTTGATCGTAAAATGTTTACAAAAAAAAATTGTGACTGGATTTTTAATTTTTTTTCATCTGCCTTTGAAACAATATACTAGAAGCCTTCTATTAAATTTTCAAACTTTTTTAACCAACAAATATAATTTTATTGATATTTGTAGAAAAAAAAACTTTATATGTCCGTAAACAGCTCAAAATAAGTTAAAATGTTATGGATTTAATTATGGACACAGTTTAAGGAGTTAAAATAAGCTCCTTCCTTTTTAAAATCTAAGTGACTTAAAAGTTGTTTGAAATAACAGTATTCAATCCCTTTCCAAGTTAAAACAAAAAATTTTTTTAAATTTTTTGTCAAACTTGTTACTCGTCTGTGCTGTAAACTATCTAACTTAGTTTTAAAGTCCGCTCGGAAATCCTTATACCACAAAATTCACTAAAAGTATAATTTGTATATAAAAAATGCCATCAACAGATATGTCGCCAACACCTATGTTCGAAAAAGTAACATTTTCCAAATCGTTTTCCTATCAACGTATATTTTACCATTTAAATAAATAGTATAGAACAAGGCACGTGGCTCCTCGCACATTGTTACAATATCAATTTTATCAACTGGTCACTGGCGAGTTCCATTAATGCATAATAATATACTCCGCATAAGGAAAACTAATGTCTTCTGACCAATTATATTCACAGAAAAATTATTTCTTCTAGTAATCGTCATTTTTACACTATATTTTTAAATCATAGCTAAAACAGTTTGCCGTGGTTCCATTAAAATATTTATTTACGAATATCATTCTATTGTTAATTTGATTTGTATGTACGAAATATTCATCTGGACTTTGTAGACATTCTTTATGTTTGAACACGGACGCGTTTTCGCTCCACCTGGAACTTCGAAATAGATCCCCAAACTGTGAACCGGACCGCAGAATGTTTGAGAGGTGGCCTACCCGTCCAGCAACCGGTCATTAAAATTGTCTATTCCTAGTGGTTGAGCCTGGCACACCGTTGCGTCCGCTTGCCACCACGCGCCATGTGTGCCACCCAAACCTCGAGTTATTCGCGAGTGCAAAGTCGTCATTCTGCGCCAGGGGTGGTGCTAAAGGGATGCGTGTGTGTATAGTAGTGACGTCCCCCAGGACAAATTCTCACCCATCCCTCTACCCCCTTCCCCACCAAAGATTTTCTGATAATAATCCAATGTTATCTGGTATTAGTTCCTTAAATCCTCAAAATATCTTTAGCTTTTTTAGACTAGCAAAAATCATTATCTTTTGCCAAGCACTATGAAGTTGATATCAAGAGCTTGGAATCTAAACTTAAGGTAAGAAAAAGACATCAATTAGAAAAAAAACTAAAACAAACACTTATACTTGATTTTATTCGGTTGCTAGAAAGTAAAAAGTTACAAATTTCCTTATTTTATTATGTGTTTAAGCACATTTCATACCTCCATCAAGTGCTGGACTGAACTTTATTTAATTACTGACAAATTAAAACTTATTTGTGAAATAAAATGATACAGCTCAAGACTATCACATATTGCAGTTCTTTCAATCGAAAAACTCTTTCCAAAAGCTTAGATATGGAAATCGTCAAGGATAAATGTTTTGCTTTTCATCATGTCGAGGAATCATGTTCGATCAAAAATTAATTTTAATTTTTAAAAGGAAGTTTAAGTTTAAATTTGTATATTATTTGCAGGAATACAATGATCTCAATGACATATAATTAAATTTAATTGGCTTTTTTTTATTGACAGAAGTAAAATTGTTGTGGTTGCCTCAGTAAAAAGAATCTAGGAAAAAAGGCAACGGAAAAAAAAGCAATGAAGAAAAAGCAAAAGGAAAAAAAAGTAAATGAAATAAAAGCACGAGGAAAAAAAAGGAAATTAAAAAAAGGCATAGGTATAGGTATATAGCGGAATGGGACATTTTGGAGGTGCAGTTTTGGCGTGGCTGTTTTGGCGTGATTGTTTTGGCTTGAAACAATTTTGGCGTGAAGCCGTTTTGGCGTAAATGTTTCAGATTATTTTAAAATAAATGTATTAACCAGTAAACTAGTCTAAACGTATTTTATAGTTAGGTTATCTACGTTTTTGGTGATGTGATTATTGTTTAGTAACGTTCGTCATTTTCGTACGATAAGTTTATCATTAATTGTCATACGACCTTGAACTTGTATGTAACTATGTATTTATTTGATGCATTAAGTAGGGATGAAAAACGACGTTTTTGGAGTTGCCGAAATAAAACTGAGTGTTTAAGATCGGGTACACACGACAGTAGACGATATCGAAATAATAAAATCAATAAACGAACACACTCATGATTCCGAAGCAGCAAAAATTGAAGGAAATGTAGCAGTTAACTGAATTAAACGACGTTCGGCTGAAACTATGAAATTCACATCAAATGTCATAAACGAATGTCTTACTGGATTATCAGAAGGTAATATAAGTAGGTGTAATTTAAATTAATTTAATTATATTTTTTAAATAAATATATAATACTAGCTGGACACCTTATATGAAAAAAAAAATTTAAAGATACTTCGACGCACCTACGTTATTGGAAAATGTTCGTGAACTATGACACTGCATAGAATATTTGTTGTAATGATAATACTTAGCACTTAAACTTATTGTTAAATAGATAATTGTATACAATGT